TATAAGTTATTATTTTTGTTTAGTAGGAAGTTGACAATATTAATATATGACTAATAATTAATCAATAGAAATGCGGTGCAACAGGGATTGATTGCCGTTATGTAATTCTTTAAATGGTTAGGTGTCATGTAGCCAAATCTTTACGACAAGCTGCATGTAGGACGAATTTTAAAGTATTTCGATTAGTATAAAAGCACCTTCTCCCCCATGGCCGGTGGGCGGGTATAGGTATACTATTAAAATCCAGCGCAAAGATCAACGCATAAAAATACGATAAATGGGTATTTGAAGGTTAGTGTGGAAAATAAATAAGGGAAAGAACAACTTGACGAACGAATAAGCATCAGGAAAACATCAAAAAAAGTTAGTTTATATGCATGTGGTAGCGTTGGAAATGTACCTTATGCTAAAAAAAAATAAATAAAATGTCTGCTCTCACAAGCGAATTTATTATTGGATTATTGACCAGAATTATCCTTGGATATTCCCTTTACGTACTGAGCTTGATGTCGCCATTAAAGGAAAGAAGCATATTAGCAATGGGAGCTTCAACGATAATGTGAATGTGTTTTTGGAGGGTGTTAGACGATAAGAAGCAGGAAAGAAAAAAAAGCACAAGTTAGTCAACATTGCAAACAGTATACCAAAATACAATGACAGTGAGGGAATTTAATGTGTGGCATGAGCAGTAAGCAAGAAAAGCTAGGATAATTAATTACCAGTAGGGACCTCGACTATGACATGAATACATTCTTCAGCAGGTAGAGAGGGGAAGTATTTCGAAACCTTTTTCGTTGCTAGGAGTTCGTCATGCAATGAGGGGTTGGCTAACTCGGAGTCGTGATCGTCAGGAATTTCCACCTTCCATAACTTGAGTCTGTCAGCAGGAATGTGGTCGAACTCCGGTGCCTTTTTCGTTTTGATAGCGTCTTTGAGGTGGCTTATCAACTTACCACTATTGATATCGACAGCAAAGGCATTCGCAGGCAAGTTTCCTTTAACCAAACAGACCAAAGTAATAGACATATATGACTTTTTGGTGGTTTTTTATTGGTAGACTGCGGAATGGTACGCGAAAAAACGATAAATGGGGCAGACATGGGTATATGTGAGAAATGTATTCAGTTTCACATGCCACGTACTACATTACTTTTCGGCAGAAATTTTTCCGGGTGATCGCAATCGATTTTATTTCATCATGTATGCAGATGTTCTATGACCTTCGATTTTATTCTGTGGCATATTAGACTTGTTGTTATGAGAAAGAATAGAAAGAATCGACGTTCTAGCAAGGCAACGATCCGGAAACCAAGAAATTTCTCACACAACGGGTGCCCAAAATTGTTTAATTATAATAGCCCTGTAACCCAATTAGCAGTCTTAGATAGCTCAAAAAGAATTGGATGGAATTGAAACAGAATTTGCGTTAATTTAGTCCGTAGCATGCCAAGGTACAGTGGTCGTCATAAATATCCGGAATTTAATCTCACAAGCAAAAATTTTTATTTTCACTATTTTTGTACAAAATTTCAATAATATATCTTTTTTCCCTCCCGCTTGAAAGTCAACTGTTGAAAGCTTTTTTTTTCATTGACCGCAAATTTACTTCTCCACTTTTCCCTTAAGTATTACCCACAAATTCTCAATTGGGTTTATATCCGGGTCGTAAGAAGAATGTGAATACTATTGTGGATAGGGGAGTCATCCTGTTGAAAACGTTTGCTCTGGAAATGTAAGGAAAAAGGCGAGTTTCAGGAATTTTTTAGCATTGAGTTTTCAGTGAACAAAACAAGTGCGGTAAGCAGTATTGTTGTCTGCACTATTGGACCGAGGTGACGGCGTTGTGAATTGGAGGTCTTTCAGGTATGGGAAGTGGCGTAACAATAGACCTTTCTTTAAGTCGATTGACTAAATCATACACTGTGGATTTCGGAAAACCTGTTAAACGTATGATTTTAGCAGGTTTCTTGTCCAAATATGGCTTACAACTGTTCTTTGTACTTCAAACTTTGAACCGGTTGACTTTTTTCCCCGTTTTTTCACCAAAAGACGCGAAAACAGACCGCAAACAAGTTAGCGGTAACGCGTTTGGTTATACTTTAATACCAATTTTGTATTGGTTCAAATTGGTTATGCTACGTGATTTTTTCTGCACCGGATCAAAATTCCGGATATTTATGACGACCACTGTAAGTGCAAGTAATGGTAATAAGATAAACTATTGGATAGCAATTAAACTATTGCTTGATGACATTCGGTTGACTAAGGAAATTGGTTGTATTGGCCACATGACAAGGAAGTATTGTGCTAAATAACATTTATGCTTCCAGTGCTGTTGCAAATAGTTTGAAAGAAAATAAGATTTCATCAAGAGTTTCGATTTAGCTAATTGACTATTGAACTTGTCAGAGTTTGATTTCCAGCTTCTGTCGGTGGATCCGTATAGCTGAATGTATGGTTGAACCGCCTACGTTTAGACAATTTTGTTCGCGTTAAGTAGTCGGATATATAACGTTGGCAATGTATGATTTGCCTGTCCTTGCAGAACCTGTTATAAAAAAGTAAGGTTATTTCTTTCTGATATTGAATCAAGATTTTGTAAAATAACATTGGTTTTAGGGTACTACGCTTCTGTCGAAATAAAAGTTCAATGGAATGAATCGAATAGGAAAAAATAGTACAGCACTTTACTTCATGATGCTAACTATTTAAGCGAAAAATCGTCTCGATAAAGAATAGACAGAATAATGACCAACTGTCGCCACCAAATGAAATTAGCTAATCGAAGAAACGCGAAGTAAACTATATTAACATTAATAAATAACGTTAAATCGCGTAATTTTCGAGAAAAGCTTATATACTAAGCCGTGACTAATTCATACTACCGTTGAAGTAAATGCGAGTGATTCAGAATTAAGTATTCATTGAGTATACTTATTTCTCCACTGTTAAATCAGATCTCCGCCGATTATCATGTATGACGTTATTTTAGAGCTTAATTGGTGTCCCAATAAGCGTATCCAAGCGATTAGGTTAGCCTTAGTTCTTGAAAAATTCTATGAAGGAGAACAATAATAACAACGCCACCGTTTAAAGAAGCTTTGGTTAAACTTTAACCTTTGTTTACCCATGTCTTATGGCCCGTTGTCCTTTTTGACCGTATGAACTAGTACACCGTCTAATAGTATTGTAGTACATTTATAAATCTGTGAATTACATAGTGTGACAGATAATTTAAGGTCTTAATATGGTTTTCTATTAGGTAGAGTATGTCTTAACATCTATGTTGCACTAAGAGACATGACTATACATTCCAAAAGTTCATATGAATAGCCTTCTCATATTCGCACTTTCTACTGCATACAACACAATGGCTACGGAGGAAACATCGATTTAATGGTTTATAACTTTAATCTCGTAACATCCAAATGGTTCGTAAAGCATATTCTGTCGATTATAACTAACACAAATGGACCAATTTGGATATAAAATATCGGGAAAAGTTTCAGATTATTGGCTATAACGAATATATGGTGCACAAATACTGTTATTAAAACTGCGTATGGTTACCTTTGCTATTACGGATAATTTATGGTTTAAAATCGACATCAATCTCAAAGAAAAACTATTACGTACGTACCACGGCTCCGCGTCAACGTACATTGTGTATCAATTCTAATTTTCTATAGACATCAAAATTTTTTATTAATTCGACGTGTATTGACTACTAGCCAT